ATGACATAATCTTTATAAAATGCAAAACACTAGTAGAAACTATATGGAAACATACATATTTGATAAGAAATATATAAACAAAGAAATGAGTAATTTAAAAATCAGGTAGAGTCCATGGAACTGGTATCATTCTAGTGTTGACATGGCCTGGTAGGATTTAAAACATAAGGATTACTTATACTTTCTACTCACCATTTTTGTGTCTGGAATATTACGCATATTTAATCATGCATTGACACATAATGCCATTTAAATACATAAATCAGCAAAGGGACCAGAATATGCAAATGCTTTCAGCATGGAAGAACTTAGATATGTGATAGAGAGACATAATTATGACAAGGAGGTGATAAGTAATACATTATCTTTAATATGACGGAGCACAGTCTTCTGAAATTGTATTGGCATATGCAAAGGAGAGATTAGAGATACAATTGAAAGCAGCACACGCAGAACTCCAAATCTTGCAAAAGAAGCAAGTCCGATTTCTGTACTAAGAACTAGAAGACTGATTTCTCCTTTGTTGCCTACATGGTGATAAGATCAAGGCCTATTACAATTGAGAATTTTGAAGAATGTGAATTAATGATAAGTTATGGGAACAGTCATTATTTTTATCTTGAGGCCTGGTCCTGGTGCATTTTAATTGTCTGCAGCTCATCATGTGCCAACAACTTTTGTTCCTTATAGAATTCAAATCACAGGGTGGCACTTTATGTAACAACTTAGCCTTTTAAATTATTGTGAAACTACAAGAAAGGTTTAATTACATTATTGCCAATCATTTGAAGAATGGTAATTACTGAGGGCCCTTTGGCTAGTATTCCTGATTGAAAGTGCTGTGGCATGTGCAACAGGTCACAAGTTCATTTCCAGATCCTGTTCATTTTATTCTAAAGCTTGACTTTGTTCCTTGGACAAAGAATCGCTCCGCCCGTGGAAATGTTGCTTGCGGGGAATATGATTAGCCTAAAGAGAATACATAGATGAATTTATATGGCTTTGAATACTATTCCTATTACTAACTGATAAAGAAATTATTAGTGACTGAAAGACTGCTTCTCCTGTGAAAATTTTGAAGCACTTTTAATAATTCAGAAAAGTCTAAAAGTGTAATGGTTGATTAAATGCAGCACTTAGAGTCTGAGAATGGGTCTCAACCCATTTATCTAGGGCTAGGGGGTGCCAGTTGCATTCGAGGCCATGTGGTCACTCGTCATAATGGCTCTATTTTTCGGTGGCTGATTTCAGAAGTAGTTAACCAGGCCTTTTTTCTGAAACACCTCTGCTCTGGGTGGACGCTGACCTTGAACCTCTAAGTTACAGCAAGTGTGCCTACGATTTATTCCATCGAGGCATGGTAGCCAAGCTTCTTTTTTCTAAGAAGATTGTGAAGGTTTGGGGGTTTCTTGTTTTGTTTCTTCAACAAAAAGCCAACATAATCCTCATAAGCCAGACTGGACATTTCTGACCACGAAGTTGTATTTGTTTTGTAGTAAGAAGAGACCAAGCGTGACCGTAGGTTTGGGTTCTGAATTAGCCATGTTGTCTTAGTGAGGAAAACGTCCTGGAATCCCATTCCAGAATCTGCCTCCCACAAGCCCAAGGGCAAGTGCCTGAAGGCAGAGGTGGGTCACACGAGTCTCCACCCTCCGTCTTTCCTGATCTTATTCCTGCCCTAACACTACTTTTCTGCTGGGTTGGAACAGGTGTGCACTGGCCACACAGAACTCACAGACAAAGCTCATACTTATGGGAGTTTGATTAGAGAAGTTAACAGCTTACCCCAGGCCAGGATCAGACAACACACCACAGCCTCAATGCTTCTGGTCTCGGCCTTGACCGCTTTCATCAAGGACCTGGAGCATGCACTGTGCTGATTCTTTCTTGACAATGTCAGGATACTCTGTCCCAATTTCTGAGAGGGCTCTCTCATACACAAGGACATGGCGACAAAATCTGACCATGCCCCTCTATTCAATGTTTCACACACCCTGTAAGCGTGGTCCTACCCCATCATTAGTTGTGAGTAACAGAGACATGGATCAAAGAGCCATCATAAGAAATTTTACTTCGGATGGGCCTCTTAGCCAGTGTGGTAGTTACATAATCTGGTGTCAATATGAGGATTCAAAGTGAAGGGGTGGCTTTACAGAAGGGTCGTGGGGAGGAGACGAGCCAGTCAGGGTGCAGTGTAGCAGCCGATGAAGCATACAACTTTCCTCTAGTTCCTAAATGTTTCCTCCCCACCCACTCTCATGATCTCAAATCTACCTTACAAATCTGGCTAGACCAGAGGATGTACACTGTACAGGTAGGAACTGGAAACGCAGGGAATCCAGGACAGATGATCCCTTCAGGACCAGTGCTGAGAGTAGTGATACTGGGAGGGTGGAGGGAGGGGAGGGTAGAAGTGGGAACTGATTATAGGTATCCACATATGACCTTCTCCCTGGGGGACGGTCAACAGAAAAGTGGGTGAATGGAGATGTCAGACAGTGTAAGATATGACAAAACAATAATTTATAAATGATCAAGGGTTCATGAGGAAGGGGGAGCAGAGAGGGAGGGATAAAAAATGAGGAGCTGATGCCAGGGGCTTAAGTGGAGAGCAAATGTTCTGAGAATCATGAGGGTAATGAATGTACACATGTGCTTTATACAATGGATAGATGGATAGATTGTGATGAGTTGTATGAGCCCCCAATAAAATGATTAAAAAAGAAAGAAATTTTACTTCACCAGTTACTTCATTCTTAAATGTGTGTCCATAGCTCCTCGAGTAAAATTGAATCCCCATTTTTGATTGTTCAACTCTTGGTTTGACTGCCTGGATTTCTTTTATTTTATTTTAATGGTCCTTCATTTGCTGTGGAGCCCTAGTTGCATAGTGAACCCAACGGTTGTTCCAAGTGGTGTATAAAATAAGGTTATCCAGTCAGGTAGCGATTCACAGCCCTGGCAACTCTCCTGAGTAATTCCATCCTGTCCTATGGAGTTGCTTTGAGTTAGAATCAATTCAGTGGCAGGGGGTTTTTGTTTGTTTGTTTGTTTTTTATTGCTTGGTAGATTCTTATCTTATTCTTGGTAAAAATTCCCTTTCACTTCTAATCCACTGATAGCATATTCAAATAAAACAGGACCCACATTCCTCAGGGTTAAGCTTGCCAGAAACACATTTTTGCCTCTCCTACAACTTAACACTTCCTTAGGACTGACAATCTGCCCCCTTCATATCAGATTTGTAGCTCACACAATGGGGTGTCTTATTAGAAATAATAAGAGTGTTCATTTTAGTGTTTAGTCATATTATTTTATGACAGTGAATACATATTACATTATTTTGTGTCTTGATTTTGAAATTTCTACCATTTATAAGAGGAAAAATAAGTTTTTTGATCATGGAGATGTTATTTTCTCTTTTTTGTTTTAAACCTCTCTAATTTGTTTTACTGTGATTCTTAGTCATTTATTCTTTAAGAGTTGGATAGGGAATTACACAGATAATTTATTTTCCATGTGATAAACGGATATGTGTGGTCAATGTTCCATCATTTTCATCCATTTCCGTATGACAGACTAGATCCATATGGAAAAATGTGAGATATACTCTCAGCTTTGGAGTACAAAATAAAACCAAACAAATTATCATAATACATTCTAAAACTTATTGGGCATTTTGTCCTTGAAAAATAAGATTGGAGACATTGCTTGAAATTATTTGCATTCACAGCAAGATACACATGTGAAGCTACATATTATGATCAGTCATGTTATTAAACCGTTTCACTTGGAAACATGAACCACATAAATGTAACAGCTGTAATTCTTTGATGCTCACATGGCTAAATTAAATTTTCAGTTGTCACCAATAGCAGTGTAGTACCGCCTCATGTTCTCCCGAGGGTAGCGCTGATGATTCCGGAGTGAAGACTTGCGGAGTCATCAGCAGGGATTTGACTGCAGAGAGTCAGACCAAGTGTCTCTGCCGGGCACGCACTCTGCAGTTGTACTCCATGAGAGGTAGGGACTCTGATGTAAATACAGCTTGTTGTGACCACTTAAAATTGATTCTGATTTGTATTTATAAGCTGTAACTAGAATTAATAAGTAACTGTAACTACCACTAATAAGACAGTTCCAACACTGGTTTTTATTTGATCTTACTATTAGAATCAATATGACAATGAATTTGGTTTAGGTTTTCGTCTTCTTTTGTTTTAGGCTAATAGGAAATAAAATCCTTAGGCTAGGCTTCAAAATGATATAAGTCTAGTCACAGGTCTGTAATGACAAAGATTTACCACATCTATGTCTTCACTTACGTGCTGTAAAGGAAGAGTTTATCCCTCCTATATATTTTACTGAGTAGTTGTTGAATGTGAAGGTTATTAAAAAGCACTTCAAGATGGAAATGAATGATAAGGGAATTTTTCCACAAACTATTTGAAGTCTCTTCATATAAGTTATAAGCTGAATATTAAATGCTTAATCATTGGAAATTGACTTCTACAAAATGAGTAGCATTTGTTAAGGAGTTCTGATGATGCCATACATTAGACATGTGGCTGTTAAGCATAAGGTTGGTGGTTCAAACCCACCAGCCGCTCCATGGAAGAAAGGTGAGGTTCTCTATTCCTGTGAAGATGTACAATCTCAGAAACCATATCTAGGGTAGCTAAGAGTTGAAATCTACTCAATGACACTGGGTAAGGAGCACCCGTTTTGATTACTACTGTTTCCTCACCTTTGATATTTTATTGTGTTTTCTCATTTTCTTCGGTAACTTTTCCAACACCCCTTTCTTCATTTTAAAATTTGCTATGCAAATTAAATTTCACTAGTAGGATTGTCAATGATCCAATCATATTCATAGCTGAACTAAAGTGTTTGTCCTCTTTTGTTGTGTTTGTTGTTGTTTTATAAAAAACAATTTGTCCTTTTTGGTCTGAAATTAGCTGTTTGTTTCAACATCATCTTTTCTTTTTTTATTTACACAGGAAATGACTTATTTCTCGTAGCCGTTCATGAACTAGGACATGCTCTGGGCTTGGAGCATTCCAATGACCCAACAGCCATCATGGCTCCATTTTACCAGTACATGGAAACTGATGACTTCAAACTACCGAATGATGACTTGCAGGGCATCCAGCAAATATATGGTAGGTTACCCTGCCAACATTGGAAACATTTACTTAGTGAAATAAGCCTTCACAAAAGGGCATTATTTTATGATCCTACTCACATGAATTAAAAGAAGCAGGTGTGTAGAGACCAAAGTTTACTAGTAGTTAAAGGATAGGTGAGGGGGGGAGGGAAAAAGGGTCCATATTGAACATCTGGCCAGAGTAATAATTAAATGTGGAATTGAATAAGGGTGATGACCGGTCAACAGAGGGTCAGAGTGAATGTCATATGACGTTTATTAGGGCATCAAATCTCCGCTACGTATTTAATTACTACAATCAAAGCAAACCAAGATCTGTTTGATTCACTGAATACTAAGTCGAAAATGGCTCTTGTGTTTTCTTCTTTGACATAGATGTTTTCATTACACGTGAGAAGTAAAAGCTGATTAAAAGCTGGCCTATTTGCAAAATTCTTTTACCAAGTACTTTGTGGGCAAAAGTCCAAATGTCTTTTTTTTAGGTCATGAGAAAGTCTTAAACCTGTAGTTATAGTAATGATTTGATAAACTTTAGTAATTTAAAATTTAGGTAAAGTATATAATAAGCTAATGTAACTAATAAGTACAATGGTAAGTATAAGCTTTTAACATAAGATACTAAATCATTGATACAAAATGATAACCTTGATGCTCAATGTATGAGATTTGATGTTAACATACTTCCTAGATAAATCACTTTCAAGTTCCAGAAACCTGTGTGACAGACATAACAAACTGACTTAAAAGTATGTGATTCCTGAATCAGATGAAAAGTTATCAAAATGGGAGTCAAAGTTAATAAATGACTGTATTTACTTGTACACAGCTCAAAATGAAAATGGCTTCTAGTAGAGTAAAATAATTTTACTTGAGGAATTCAGCCAATTAACGCAAATTAATCCTAACTCCCATAATATAACCATTGACCTTTATAGAGACATTTGCTTTACCATTAAGAATGTGACATCTGTAATTTACATATCACAAAAACAAATGTGTGTTATCTGCGTGTTAATATCCAGTATCCCAAAAATTCCATATGCACTTTTTAGCAGCACAGTTTTAAGTTAACGAATTTGTTTCCCGTTCTTTTTCTTTTTTCAATTTAGATGTCTCAGTGGTAAGCATTCATTCTGTCACTGTGAAAATAAGTTTGATGAATAGGCCCACTTTTGTGCTGCTCTTCATTGTTGGGACACTGAGAAAGGAGAAATGCCCCGCACTCCGCGTTTAGCGCACTTGTTGAGTCTGAGGGCGTATTGTATGACAGGTTGTATGCCATGAGGAATTCTTCTGAAGCGGTTAACTGACAGGAGGCTCTTTCTCATGACCTCATGAATTGAGTCTAGACTGCAAGTCTACAAAAGAATAGTCTCCTTAGATCTAAATATTATGTGTGAACAGATCTGTAGTTTTCTTAAAAATAAAGAAAACTCTTGGGGAATGATGCCTAACATCTGTGCCAAATTACATGTGTAAACTTGGACTTGATGTAGAAGTCTCATTTTAGAAATCCTTCTTCATATTGATATTCTTTGGGTGGTGCTTTAATCAACAGCTGCTTTAGATTCAGGTATTCAAATGAAATACCCTCCCAGCATTTTTGTCAAAACATTTCTGCAGAAGAATATAGTGAAAGTCAAGGAAAGGTTATAAACTGTAATCGGAAACATAGAACAAACTTTGGTTACTTATAGAAATATTTACATAGAATCATTGTCTACTGAAATCTAGGATTCGTTGTGGTTGAACGCTGTATGCATGGTTCCAAGATTTCTGTTCAATTGCTTATTATTTATATGCCACCTATTTCCAAAAAAGGTTTGAAAGCCAGCTACCATTAAAAATTAAGCCCCCAAAAGCCTAGTTACTTAGATCCAGAATTTAGCATGTTAAGGGCCATTCCGGAGTCTAGGGAATGCTTTGTTTGGGTGAGATGGTTTGTTTCTTCACAAAATAGATGGTCTGAAAGACCTCCTAGCTCCCTTTATCTGTGCCCTCCCTGAAGGGTGAGTGATGGCCTCTGTGGAGTGTTTGCCAGCCCTATTCCAGGCGGCAGTGAGCCAAGCACTGTCCTCGTGTTTTCAAAAGGTCCACCTGACAAGACCCCGCCACCTACAAGACCTCTGCCGACAGTGCCCCCGCACCGCTCCCTTCCTCCGGCTGACCCAAGGAAGAACGACAGGCCCAAACCTCCCCGGCCGCCCACTGGCAGACCTTCCTATCCTGGAGCCAAACCCAACATCTGTGATGGCAACTTCAACACTCTGGCTATTCTTCGCCGTGAGATGTTTGTTTTCAAGGTAGGATGTTGTGATTTCTTTTTCTCCCCCAGATCTACCAAGGGTAGATCAAGTGTCTTCAGTGTCGCTTTAAAAAACAAGGTCTCTTTCATTCTAACACTAACTTCCCAGCCCTCTCACAGTTAGAACTTTCCAAAAAAAGAAAAAAGAAAAAAATCTTGAAAAATAAACGTACAAATGGGCTTAACTGTCTAGCAGAAGATTGCTGTAACCTTCTATTTGGGGAATGCATTTATGTCAGCAAAAGCCGCGATGCCTAGAAATGTGATGGTCAGGATATGCTGTATGTTATGAAGAGATTAAAAAAAAGCATCATTTAAATCATGAAGAGGAACTAATGGGGATGATTTGCTTGGAAGCGGAGGCACTTCCTGGCCTACTGCACTGATTGGATCTTTTGGTGTGCACATCTTGAAGAGAGCCCTGTTATTTCACTTCACCATTAAAACATCATTTTTTTAGCAACACTCACATTTTGTTTGGCTTCCACTGGCGCCGCTGGAATCAAGCCTCCCCTCTGAGACGATCATTTTGACTTTCGAGAAATCAACCGCAGTGCCCTTGGAAATACGTAGTTCCACACTTAGAAGTAGATCTACCGAATTTATATACCTGTCTTTTTAAGGCTGTATGCTGAAAGTAGGCACATCATGCATAGCCATCACTCTTTTCGGAAACATTGTGGTAATTTTACACATTGCTTAATGTGCTTCCCAATGCCATTCTTTTTTCCAGCAATAACTATGATAAACAGTGTGTCAAAGTAAGAAACCTAATATAGTACAGTACTGAAAAATAATTTTCACCCTCAATATTTATAAGCCAATCATAAATATTAACAAAGAATCTATGTGTGTATGTTGGAATTCGAGTATTAAAATAGTCACATTGTACAACTATGATCCATTAAAAAAATAGATGCTCTTATTTAAGGGGGACACCAATCGATCGTGAATGGACTGTTGCCATTCTTCTACAGAATACTTTGTCTGCCAGAGGCTAGACTTTATAAATATAGATTTTTTAAAAATTTTAATGGAGAGAGTATCTATTTACTTCATTTGACAATAAGATCTGGACTTGATATAATGGGCAGAAGAGCACCACACTTTCTAGGACAAATCAATGCTTTTGTCCAAACACATAAATAGATGTTTTTAATTTTAATAATACCCTATGATATTTAACCAGGTATCTCCCATTCAATTTCTAGTAGGTTAATAAATTTAGACTCAGAGAGTAAAGGTGAATTGTACTTAAAGGTGTGTGCTTTTGTTTGCATGTATGTTTAAAAGCTTGTGGGAATATTCCATTATTTTTAATTCATTTTTTTGCAAACTTTTTTGCAATGCCTTCATATATACATACATATATATGTGTGTGTGTGTGTGTGTGAAATGATGTGGTGGTATTAGCCCTTCCCCAACATCAATTCTCTCTGCGGTGATTTTTTGAGTCTTACCTACTTTGGACATATTGTCAGGAGAAACACGTTCCTGGGGAAGGGCATCAAGTGAAGAGGCAGCAAAAAAGAGGAAGTCCCTCGAGGAGATGGGTTGACACAGTGGCTGCATTGATGGGCTCAGGCATAGAATCACTGGTGAGGATGGCTCAGCGCTGCGCAGTATTTCATTCTGTTGCGCACGGGGTCGCTCTGGGGTTAGAGCCGATGCGATGGCACCTGACAGCCACATCATAATGGAAACTAATAATAAGCAGCATCCCAAGGCTAATTGCTGTGAGGTGGATATCAGATAATGGAGGGCTCCAACCATTATTACCAATTCTGCCCCAAGCAGTCTCTAGACAGGTACCCCCAGACTCTCTTCTTATCTGCTGGAATTTGGTAATTTGTTTCAATAACCACATGGAACTCATACTTATAGTTAAAGTTTTATTAGAATAGTAAACGGTTACAATTCAGGACCAGACATGACTAAGGAAGCAGTTCTTTGATGAGGATAACCCATAGACAAGCCACATCTTGTACCCTATGGCCCCTCAACCCCTTGGAGCCTTCGTTCTTTGACACTTAGACCCCCTCACTCTGGCCTGCACCCTGCTTAGGGAAGAATTGCAAAGGTCGTTTGCTCTACTAGTAAGTGCCTGAAGTCACCCACTCTGCCAAGAAACCCCTGCCCAAACACATCCAGATGCCTCACTCCACAGCTCAGCATGCCCACAATTGCCACCTTGCTCCATGGACTGAGAAGTCCTCTACATTCTCTCACCTTTTGGTTCTGCTGTCACCATGTCTCTGCTGTCTCTTCTTGCCTTTTCTCATCATCTCTGTCTTACTGTTCTTTGTCTCCTGGTTCTAGTAGGTTCTAAGCTCAAGAACCTTAGGTCCAAAGGAAATGCTCTACTCTTGGCTCTTATGATAGTAATAAGGCCTAGTCCTATCCAGGCATTTCAGGGGCAGCACGAGACCATGGTGACGAGGTCACATTATAGTAATTCACTACCTCATCACCAGATAATCACCTTGTGTGTGTATATATGTATTCCTTGTGTGTGTGTGTGTGTGTGTGTGTGTGTGTAAATAGCTTCATCTTTCTCCCAAGAAGTGGCTTGTGGGTTTAAACTACAGACCTAGCAATCACTAGTTCAATGCTTATCTGATAATGCCACCAGGGTTACTTATAACTATAGAAAATTTTATTTAAAGGAAATGGCTCACACAATTTTAGAAGCTATCAAGTCTTAAATTCAAGGGTCAGGTGGCAGGCTGGAGGCTTTTCTTGACTCCTTTGAAAACAGGGATTGTCCAAGCCAAAATCTGCATGACAGGCAGCTTGTTGTGATAGGGTTGTGAGAGCTGTCAACAGGCTGGTGGTTTACTTCCCAAGGGTGTAGGTTAGAGAATACCAAGTGTATGCAGGGCTGGATATGGAATTGAGAAAGAGCAAACTGTCAGAACATCCATTTATGACATGAGCCACACCTCCAAGGAAATTCTTCTTTTATCTGATTGGCTTCTCACCTAAGGTCACAAAATAGAAGATGGTTACTTAATGTCTTACAAACCACAGAGAATGATTGCCTAGCCAAGTTAATACATATGTAACCATTGCACTCTAGAATACAGAATATGACTTGATGTTGACCATTTTCTTTCATTTATCTACTTGAATTGCTGAACTCAAAGAAAACAGGAATTTGCCTATGTTGTGATCATTTTCACCTACTTCTTTGCTCTCGACATCGTGGGATCTTCTTGTTAAGTGCTATTATCTTTCAGAAATGTGTTTCTGTGATCGTAGGTTTCTAGATGCGGGAATAGATACAATTGTGCATGTCAACTTTCAAGTTGAATGCAAAACAATTCTTACTGTCCATACAGGCATCTCAAAACAGTACAGTCTGTTCCTCTCGGCTCACATGCAAAATGTTCTAGAGAATCGCACGCCTGCCATTTCTTCTTTCCTTTCTTCACAATTGCTGTGTCATGCAAAGTCCTGTTGAAGATACCATCACTTGATAGGCCCTGTATGCTTTGTAATCAATGCTTGTCTAATGGAAACAAGTCACACAACTTAATTTGTACACCTCTCATTTTTCACATGATGAATGCTGCTGCCTAATTGTTTTTAGGAGACACCAAGGAGATGAGAATCTAAGTCAGAATCCCTGATCTCATAGCTCAAACTTCAAGAATGAACCCACACGTGAACATATTTTCGACATGTAAGAGTGGAATGTATAACATTGACATGGATAGAAAGTATGGAATCTGCGTGAGTAGGTCAGGAAGACTTGTATTTGAGAGAGGAATGTGCTAGGTGCATTAATGAAATGAGTATTTGGTATAGTAAAATCTGTGCATCGAGGGGCAGAAGATAGACATGTCAGCTTTAATATTGTTTTTGATGTTAGGTGCTAATGAATCAATTCCAAATTATCTGATCTTTTGAAGAGAGTAAAACTATCCCCATAGAGTTCCTCTGTTGGAAATCCTCATGGGAGCCAGTTGGAATGTCTTTTATCCTGAAGAGCTACGGATGGGTTTGAATCACCAACATTTTAATTACCCACCAATTGCTTTACTATTGCTCCATCAAGGCTCCTGGCTAACTCGGTGCAAAATAATAATATTCTCTATAAAATAATTATTCAATCAAACTAGAGCTAGTCTTCTGTCAGTAGTGATAACCAAGCCAAAAAAAATGGTTAAAAGCATTTCATTGTGATTTTTTAAAATTTATTCTCCCAAAGATTTTCATGACTCATATTTACGTAATGAGTCTTGGTGGCTCTAGGGTTAAAACCCTCGTGTTATGTGAAAGTTGGCAGTTCTAACCCACCAGCTACTCTGAAAAAAAGATGTGGCAGTCTGCTTCCATAAAACATTTATTGTAAACAACTAGAAAACAGCAAGTTGTTTGTTTGTGTGGTGGTGGCTTATTGTGTTTCTATTTTTGTTTTAAGTTCTTAATTCTATACTGTATAAAATATCTGAAAATCTAGACTTAAACAAAAGCTAATCCATCAGTCATTTTTTCTTTGTTGTTTGATTAGGAAGAAGCTTTACTTTAAAAAAAGAATGTTAGCACATGATATATATTTTTTTTTGGGGGGGGGCGGTAGCAGGAATCCTCTTAGGGACTGGATTTACGTGGAACATTCTAGGTATGACTATTATTTAAAGTCAGTTTACCTACATAAGTACTTTCATAGGAGAAAAATGATATATAATTCACCTTCAAAATGTTCATGGAACAATTAATTATCTTTTGATGAAATTTGTCCAGGAACTTAGTGAGGCCTCCTACTGTGGTCGTGTGTGTCCTCTTTCTTTAGGTAAGATGAAGTTAAGCCTTCAATATAGCTTCATATCTTTGGGGAAAGTAAACAAACTAAAGCAAGAACATGAAAATCAAAACGAAATGCCAAGGAAGAGATAAACCAAATAGCAACAACAAAAGAAATCTGTCCTTACTTTAGCGAAGGTAATTTTAAAGATGTTCCCCGAAGAATGCAACTATTTGTATCACAGGATG